GAGCGCCTCTGGTCGAACACTAGGCGGAGCGTCACCTCCGGCCCCCCGTCGATCACCTCGGCCTTCTTCGCCGCGCAAAAGAGCCCGACCTCGTCGACCTTCTCGGCGGTGCGATGCAGCATCCTTGCGAAGGCCGTCCTCCGTGATAGCTGCAACGTCTCTCTCCTTCTTCTTTCGGAAGCGCGGGTCCGCGGAGTTGCGCATCTCGCATGCCGGCGCGCAAGCGTCGCCATCCTCCTTCGGCATCTCCTCCCGGAACTTCTCCTACTTCTGTGCCGCACGAGGCGGCGCAGACCTCGCGCTCGCAGGTCTGGCCCCCGGCGGAGGTCGGGCGACTCGATCCCATTGGGCAGGGGGCGTCTCGCCCCTGTCTGGCAGCCGCGCCCGCCCGCCAGCACTCCTTTTCTGAAGTTCGGCCAACCTCTGCTTGAAGGTCGACTGGGACAGACTGCCCGCCGCCGAAGCGGCAGGGCGCAGCCGCAGAATCGCGGCTCCCTGACCAGGCGTAATCGACGGCGGCAGCTGGCGACGAACCTCCCCAAGCACCCGCCGAGAGAGGTCCCCATCCAGGTTGTCGGACATAGCCCCCTGTCCCCAGCGCTCGGCCAGCTCCAGGAGACTGTCGCCCAGGCTCCCGCGGTGGAGTTGACGCAGCGCCAAAAGAGAGCTGCTGGCCCGCCCAAGGATCTCCACCTCCTCCTTCCATCGCGAGAACGCCCGACGAGACGTCGAGCTCGGGCGCTCTGGGCGCGTGAGCAACGCCACCTCGCGCCGCCGAGACATGGAAAACCCAATTCGTCGCGCATGGGCTCGCGTGGCAACCGACGAAGATGTCGCCCGTCAGCTGCGGCAGAAAGATGGAGACAACGAGGGATGCCGGCGGGGAGATCGATCGCCCCGACAGCTGCTAGGGCCGGCCAGCGCGTAGCTGAGCGGCCCCAATTGAAGCTCCTTGGTCGTCGCGGTGGGGCCGCGGAACCCCCGTCCAGGTTGGTCCGCGCCTTCGTCAGCTGCGCGTCCCGGCCCATGGCCTTCTGCGTCTCTTCCTCGGCACTCATCACCCGAGTCGTACCCTCGTCTGCCAGCGGAGGATCCAGCCGTCGAGCCGCCCCAAGTCCACCTTCGACTGCCAGCCCTTGGCGTCCTTGGGTCGGCTCCAGCCGTCGCGGCACTGCGCGTTGCGGTGCGCCCACGCGATTGCATTGCCCTTCCGCGCCGGCCGCTCGAAGCTCGCCAGGTTCAGCAGGCCCTTCTGACGATCCGTCAACGGCGTCGTGTCCACCGCCGCGAACGCCGCGATCATCTCCCGCGCCGTGCTGCACTCCGTCAAACCACGATCCCGGATGAAGTCCCGAGCGCACGCCTCCGCCGTCCTCCCCGACGAATAGATCTCCGACAGCACCTCCGAGGATATCCGCTGGCGATAACCTTCGGGCATCCGACAGTTCCACTCCTCCGGTGGGATCTCCTGGCAGTCCTGCAACTACTCCATGAACGCCTGCTGCGGCAGCTAGGCCTTGAACCTCATCCGCTTGATGGCAAGCTCCACCGCCTCCGGGGCGCCGGGCGCCATCCTCTTCTTCGGCGTCTCCATCGAGATCGGACCGGACGTCTTGGTCGGCGAATCCATGGTCACAGCGCCCGATGACGCAGCGCCCGAAACCTCGATCGTCGCCAACCGATCTCCGACGCTCACGTTGGCGGGCGCCTCTCCCTTTAAGCGAGCCTCGAACTTGTCCAGACGGGCGATCATGCTCTCGATCGCCTGCCGATTGGCCTCCTCCGCGGCGCGATCCCGTGGCCCGAAGGGCGACTCCAGCACGTCCCGACGCAGCTCTCGAGTCCGCTCCGCCGTCCTGCCTTGTGAGACTCCGCGAGGTCGCTCAGCTGAGCCAGCGCGGCCGCGTCCACCACGGAAGGCGGCGAGGCTGACGGCCAGGGCGACTGTCCGGACGAGGTGTGACCAACGACCATGTCCACGCTCGAGGCCGAAGACGATCCGATCGAGGACTTTCCCGGCTCCGCGTGGTCGGGCCACTCGTGCGCCGCCCAAGCGGTGAGCAGCCCCATCGCGAAGACCGTGGCCAGCCACCGCTGAAGAGGCATCAACTTCTGAACCCACTCCTTCCACTCCAGACAGTAGCTCACCCACTCCTGCACAATATCCGGGCTCTCCACGAAAGCATCCTTCGCCGCGACTAGGTAGCTCACCAGAGCCACACACACACACGCACCTCCTTCATGTACTCGATCACCCCGAGCAAGGCCAGCGCCTCGTACAACACGAACGGCGGCCAACGCGCCCGGGAACCGTCTCGGACTCCTCAAAGACCACTTCAAAATCTTGAGAGAAGAGGACCCCGAGCTGAGCAGCGCATACAGCACATTCACGGCGATCGCCTGCTGACCCGCTCGACCTGGACGGTATAGCGGAAGCGATGGGGCCGTCCCCGCGCGCGCCCCCTCCGCCGCCTGCTGGAGGTCGGCATCGCGCTGGGATGCAGCCAGCGGCGGCGTCGGCCTCCACCGGATACCCGCCACCGGATCCCCGAAGATGGTGGTCTTTGCGGTGGTGCAGGTCAGCCCGAGACCCAGGTCTGGCGTCAACACTACCCAGATGTTCCCGCTCTTGCGCCTCACCAGCTGCACCTCGACGCCGTCGGTCGCCGTCTGCCGGCAGAGCTTCCGTGACCCTGGCTCAACAGGCATCTGAACCTCGATCGCGTCCAGCTCGTCCTCTCCCTCCTGATCCACGATAGGGTCGCTAACCAACGAGAAGAGCGACTAGATCAGCAGACCGTGCGAGCCGCGACCGAGACGCGCCGTCTCGCAGCCCACCTCCAGCCCACAGCCCAGCGGTTCGAGCGCACCGCCCTCGCAGCTGGAGCCAGTCTCGATCAGCTCTCACGAGGAGCCCGTCGAGCAGCTCGAATGGCCAGAGGCGCTGCCGCGCGAGGGGCCGACGAAGAAAACCTCGGGCTCGGTCGCAGGACTCCCCGCGAGCGTGCTCGAGCCAAAGAACTTGACCAGCGAACGCAATAATAACACGTTATCTTGGGACGGCCCCACCTCACTTTGCACCGCCCCCCGCCGCTCCCCCCCACCGACCAATGGGAAGACGGGGGACGGGGAAGGTGAGAGGACCAAGGCCCAACAAAAATCATTGTAAGATACAACGCGCAACGTTCGCCTCCCGGGTCTCTCAAGAATCCTCATCGGGGCTGTCGCGACCAATCTTGGAGGTGTTCGGGCTGTCTTGTGGCCCTTTCGGGGACCTCCTGTCGCGTTTTCTGCCCTCTTGGGCCGTCACGGGGGACTCTGAAGCAGTTGGGGGGACGCTCTCCTAGGGTTCTCTTGCACTGTCTTGGGGCCCGCCTTGGGCCGTCTTAGGGTGCTCTTGGGCAGTCCTGGGGTCCTCTTGGGAAATTCTTGGGACATCTTGGGCCGACTCGGAAGGCTTCAGGGCAAGCTTGGGCGGTCAGAAGGGCATACATAAACAACGGAACGAACATTGAACAACCGAAGGGCAACCAGAACAAAAAAACATACCATTCTCAAAACAACGCGGAGGTCCTCCGTAGATCCGCCGGCCCCCTTGCGGGGCCATCAGGCTGCGAGGCTTGAGCTTGCTGCTCCCTGTGCCAGTTCCAGTTTCCATTGGTACAGTGCTGCTTTCTGCTTCTCACTGTAAATTGTTATTGTCCGCGCGAGGTGGGGAAACCGAAAACCAGCATGGCTAGCGCCCCCCGGGAGGGTTCTTAGAATTCCCAGGGGGGTAGAAATTTACACCCCTCACGCAGATCGGCTGGGCCAGGGTCCAAAAGCAAAAAAAGGATTTGCCGCATTCCTGAATTCTGGTGGCATCCCTCACGCAAATCGGCGGGGTCAGGGTCCAAAAACACAAAGGGTTTGCACATTTCTGAAATTCGGTGGCACCCTTCACGCAAATCGGCGGGAACAGTGTCCAAAAACATAAAAAGGATTTGCCGCATTTCTAAACATTCGGTGGCACCCCTCGCGCAAATCGGCGGGGTCAGGGTCGAAAAACACAAGGGATTTGCCACATGTTTGAAATCCGGTGGCGCCCATCATGCAGATCGGCGGGGCCAGGGTCCAAAAACACAAAGGATTTGCCACATTTCTAAAAATTCGGTGGCACCCCTCGCGCGCGTCGGCACGGGGGCGCGACGGCCCCTCCCGGGCCTCAGGAGCCGCGCCTCGCCGCCTCAGCGGGGAGAGCCCGCCGAGGAAACGCGGGACAGAGCTCTCCGAGTGAGCCCCGGGCTTCCTCGAGTGGTCCTTCCCTTCTCGGGTGCGCGCTCGCATGGGTTCCAGATCCGTGGATCCGGCGCGCGGGCGCCAGATCACGGATCGGGGGGGGCCTTTACCTTGGGATCTGAAGCCGCTGCCGCCCGATTTGGCGACGAAGACGGGGAGTGAGAGAGAGAGAGAGAGAGAGAGAGAGAAACACTGTTTTCTCCACGGTGCGCGGGCGAACCTCCGACGCACCCTCCTGTCTGAGCCTCGACGTCCGCGGAACAGCGCGCTGCATTGAGAGAAAGGGACGCTGGAATTCATCAGAAAGGGACGCTGGAATTTATCACATATTCTCTACACCTTTCGCAGGGGACCACTCTGCCTCGCCAGAAAGCTGGCATCTAAAAACCCCCTTGGGCTCGAAAGCTCCGCTCGACACGAGCGGCCAGCCAGGTCGACCCAAGGCTCATCATCCACTTCGAACTCAAAACGCAATCTTTACAAACCGTGCGCTGCCTGAGGCGGCGCTCGATATCGCGAGCGCCTCGAATAAATTTGCACCCCCTATCCAGGTGCAGCGCGTGGCTGTCGCCCTCCAAGTGGTACACGTGGTCTCCTCCGCGCAACCTCGGTCTCTCACGCCCCAGCCTCATCTCAGCTGGCACCAATGCTCTGCTCCTTCTGTCAGTCGCAGCTGGCGGGGACTCGATCTTGCAGCGACCTCCGAAGCAACGGCAACCCGCCGCACAGCCCATCACGAACGCGACAAGCCAACTGAGGAAGACCAACATGGGCACAATCATGTAGCCGTAGTCGTCCTCACTGCCGATATTGTCAACTGCTTCACCCTGCTGAGCCTGGATCGCTAGGCACAGTGCCAAGATCTCCGTGTTGAGTGTCGGGCTGCTTGAGACCTTTCCGCCAAACTGCGCGCCACGAGCCGTGCGCGCCACCATCTCGATCACCGCATTCACCTCGACCTCGCGAACTGCACCGAAGTCTCCGCCAGGGCGCCGCAGCCGAACCTGCTTGCAGATCTGCTCGTGCACCTCAGCCGTATGTGACTTCGTTCCGATGTCCGCGGGGTTCTCCACCACCTCCAAATTGAGCAAGCGAGCCGCTTGCTGGAACCACAGGGCCCTCGTGTCCAAGCGACGCACCTTTCCGACGCCCTGCCTCAGGGACATTGAGCGCGCTGCCGAAGGGTCCGTTTCCAAAGTCCACTCGGTATGGGACCCGAGCCAGGTGAGCAGGTCCCTCAGCATCTTGCCATCCATCGCCACGGTACTCAGCGCGTAGACCTCGCTCTCATCCGAACTCGCTGCAATCAGGTCCTGCGTCCTCACAAGTGTCGCCAGAATAACGCCGCCCGCGTGCAGCGCGCCACGCGTGGTACTCTTGCGCTTCGCCTCATTGCCTCCGTGGTCGCTGTCCGAGAACGTCCTCAGGCGGGCGGGGGGGGGGGGCGCGCGCCCAGGTCAGAGGTGCCGGCCAGGTAGCGCCCGAGTCGCAGCAGCTTCTTCCAGGAGCGCTCCGTCGGCGCTGCCAGATCAGCAGATAACGTGCCCACGGCCCTCTGGATGTCGGCGCGGTCCTGAGCCAGGTAGAGACCACTCCCCACGCACGACTGATACCTCGCAACCTGCTTGTCGACCAGCGGCGGGGAGTGCTCGACGGTCTCCTCTGGCCCCAAGTTGGGAGTCCTGACTGGGTTAGCACCCCTCGACCACAGCTCGGCGATGGTGTTGCTGCTGTGCTTCTCGTGCGCCTTGAGGAAGATGCCCTCGTTGGGCTTGATCCTGATGCGCTTCAGGTCCTCGAAGCTGCCCGCCTCGCCCTTGCGCCCCGCGCAGTGGAAGTCGCCCATGTGCAACTCGAGGCTCAGTCGAGTCACCGGCTAGCGGTGGAACTGCGGGCAGGCTTCATTCCGATTAGGCCCGCAGTCCAAGAGATGGTCAGCCGCGTGGCCAATCCACTCACGACTCGCAGCCCTCCTGCCAGGGAGCTGCTTCTCAAGCTTCCAGACGACGTTCGCATCGAGGCCTGCCTTGGCCCTCGCAGCAAGCCTCTCAGGTGGGGGATCGCCATAGAACTCCTCCTTCTCAAGTACTTGATAGTGCGCGCTCGTCACACGCCAACTGCAATCGCGAGCGGGTCGTCTGGATCATCGTCGTTCTTCAGGCTGAGAAAGTCGATGGCGCGACTAGTCAGGGATGTCGATCCTGGCGCGAACAGGTCGTCGCGCTCCTCCAGCCAAGCGAACCCCCTGCCCGCGAGCCTGTGCTTGAGGACCCCTGCTCGATCCTTCTCCCACTTGGTGTCGACCTTCTTCTTGCCGTAGGAGGCGTCCCGAGGGTGGGCCGAGTAGATGCCGAACTCGTCGCAGAGCTTCGGGCCCTTGTCGATCGCCTCCGCCGCCTCCTCCATGGGGAAGCCGCTGCTGTCCCAGTGCGTGAGCTCCTCAGCCGTCAGGGGCGTCGTGTAGTCCAGCTGCTCGCTGATGTCCTCGATGGCGCCGACGATCGGATCCTCGACGCGCGCCCTCTTCGCCTCGTGCCACCCATGGATGGCGTCGCCAGTCCGCGGGCCCCCTCGGAGCTTCCAGCCCGGCCCCCGCCCCTTGGTCGAGGCTCTGGAGTCCGAGGCTCGGGGGCCTCAGGTAGGGGCTCTGGAGCCTGGGCCTCGCGGCCCCGGACCTCGGGGGCCTCTGCCTCGCTCGGGCCCGCCCCCGGGGCTGCCCCGCCGGCGCCCGCGCCCGTGGCCTCCAACGGCGTCGGCGCGGCCTCGCCCGTGCCGCCGTCCATGACGAGAGAGCGAGACATGCGTGCGATCCTCGCCTTCCAGGGCTCGCCGCAGACGTTGAGCAACAGCTCCTTGTCGTGGCGCTCCCCCTTCGGCATCCTGCGAACGGTCCTGCAGGTCGCCTTCCCAGCCACCGTGAGAATGATGCGCTCGTCGTCGGTAGTTGTCTTGCCGACCTAGATCCCATTCGCCCAGGCCGTGTCAGCTTTGGTAAGCCTCGGGGCGGAGCCTCCCATCGAGCGTCGCTGGCCCGTCTTGGAGACGGGAATTCTCGCCATCACCGTCTTTGCGAACGGCGCCGCAACGCCCGTGTAGTTCGCCCCGTTGACCGCGAAGTACGCCGCGTAACCGTCGGCGCCCCTGCTGAACCAATTCGTCACGTTCGCGGCGTGGTGAGCGAGAAACGGCCAGAGAGGAGAATGAGGTGCGAGACGGATCCCGTAGTTCATCTCAACCTGCGCCCTGTTGGCCTTCAGACGCCCACGCCACCATCGAATCCGAGTCTCGATGAAGCTCATCGGCTTGCTGTCTCTCGTCTTGCCCTGCGAAGCCCTGGTCTCGGGGCCCCTCTCTTCGCGCTGGCGACCTTATCCTGGCGCGCCTTAACCGCAGGCTCAGCGTCGCATCTGAGCTCTGGCTTCTGGGGGGCCAACTGCTTCATGAACCTCATGAGCTGCTTGGTCGCGTAGTCGTCGGCGGCCTTGTTCCCAAGCGCGTCGCCGTAGAGAAACCCCGTGCTGCGATCCGCCGCCACGAGAAACGTGCCAAGACCCTTGTCGGCCTCGTCGCACGCGTTCTTGGTGTCCTGGGTACCGTTGAAAACCCAGTCGAAGAAGATCAGCTCATCCCTGACGTTGCCCCGTAGACGGGCTGCATGGCGCGTGGGTCCTCGGGGCCTAAATAAGCCGAACGCGCCCGCGGGGCACCGCTTCTTGAACGCCGCGTGGCCGGAGGCCTCGTGCTGCTCTCTCTCGATCTCCGTCGGGCTGAAGGGCCCCTTCCACGACCTTAGCCTCCGTCACAGGCTGACCGTCAACCTGCTGCTGGTATCGTTCCCCAACCGCCTTCCTAAACTCGAGATCCTGCTCGTGCTTATGCTCGCGCTGAACCAGGCGAGCCCGCGACTCCTTCTTCGTGCCGTAGACCGCGCCGCCCAGCTCCTTCAGACGAGCTCGCAGCAAGTCAACTCGAGAGCCTGGTCTCAGCTCTGCTCCCGTTGGGCCCCTCACTGTCTTCTCCTCTGCCCTCGGAGCCGGCGGACCTTCTGCTGGCCCGGCCGCTGCGGGAAGGCTCCTCTCGGGAGCCGCGGGGGCCGCGCCGCCGGGCCCCGACGAAGCCGACCCAGCGCCCTCTGCCATGGGCGCAGGCGCGATGGCCCCGTCGGCCTGGACGGCCCCCTCGCCCCTCATCTCCGCGTCCTCGCTCGCCGCGACGATGCCCGTCGCGACCTTGGAAGAGCGACTCCCTGCCGGTCGCTTCACCTTCTGGACCTCATGCTTGGCATCTTCCATGTCCCTGTGCACGCTCGCTGGCACTCCAAACGTGTTCCTCTTCCGAACTATCGGAGCCTCCGCGCGAGCAAAGGGGCCGATCTTGAAATCGGCCCGGCAAGCCACCTGGCCCTCCCATCGCGACGGGAACCCTCGATTCGCCGTCGAGAGAAATGTTCTGCTTCTTGGCGGCTCTTTCACCATGATGTGCCTGGCGAAACCCCGTCTCGCACAACGCTCGTCACTTTCGCCGTCCAGCATCGAGAAATCATCGACGCCGTAATCTGGAGACTTCGCACCACTGCCGATGGCCATCATCACCTCGTCATCGCAGGGGCGGTACAAAAACTCGTCCTCCAGCTGGCTGTTGACCGTGTCATGGCCGTCGAAGTCCAACTGGTCCCCGATCGAGTCGTGGAAGCAGCAGTCCACCTGGTCGCCGACCGAGTTGTGGAAGCCGTAGTCCACCTGGTCGCCGACCAAGTCGTGGGAGCCGTTGTCCACCTGGTTGCCGATCGAGTCGTCATCGTCCTAGCTCTCGAGCGCCATGCAGAAGCCGCGCTCGTCAGAGTCGTCCTCGCTCGCCACGATGATCGCCTGGACCTCGCTGCTGCTCGACGAGACTGGCCTGGCCCTTCTTCTTCTCCTATCGGTCGTTCTTGAACTTGAAGCAATTCAGTTTGATGTGGCCCTTCTTCTTGCAGTAGTGGCAAGTCTTCTCCGCGTCAGGGTTGCTGCCTATGCTCCTGCCAGCTCCACCGCCGCCAGAGTCGCCTTTACCACCGCGATCCTTGCCTTTGCCTTTTCCGTCCTCTCCCTTGCCCTTGCCGAGCCAGCACTTGTCAGCAGTGTGACCGAGCTTCTTGCAGATGGTGCAGCGGGGCTTGTCGAACCCGATGGCGTCAACACTACCAGCGGCATCCGCCTGCATCGGCGCCGCTCCTGACCCTCCGGCCACCTCAGGGGGCCTCGGGACAAAAACCTCCACATTCCTCTCCATGCAGTGCTCGCGAATCCTGGTCCGCATCACCGCGTAGTTCTCCCGGACCTCATGGCTTGCACCGTCGAAGACCTTCCTGATCGGAAGCGGCGCGTAGCCCAGGACGGTCGCGCACTTCATTATGTCCGAGATCTTCTCCTGGTTAGCCAACTTATACTGCGTGACCATCTGGTCCCAATCGTGAAGGACTTCCGCGAAGCTGCGCCTCGAGTGATCGTCGCTCGTCCACCACTTAGGCTGCACAGTCGTGGTAAGCAGACTGTGCTCCGATGCGCCGCCCTGGGGTCGATAATCCGCATAGATCTGCCCCAGCGCCTCAAACCTATTTCCAGCACCAGCAAGCTTCGTCATAGTCTGAGCCTTTCCTCGCATCTTCATGGCCAGGAACGTGCCCAGGTTGCGCGATAGCTCGCGCGTCTCCCCATTCGTTATGCTCTCGAAGCTGATGGGGCCGACGTGCGTCACCGCTACATCGTAGAGGTGCCTCCAGCCCATCTCGGTGACCTCCGCCTCCATCGTGAAGAACCAGCTCACGAACTCGCGTTGCCGTAGAGAAACCCCGCGCTGCGATCCGCCGCCACGAGAAACGTGCCAAGACCCTTGTCGGCCTCGTCGCACGCGTTCTTGGTGTCCTGGGTACCGTTGAAAACCCAATCGAAGAAGATCAGCTCATCCCTGACGTTGCCCCGTAGACGGGCTGCATGGCGCGTGGGTCCTCGGGGCCTAAATAAGCCGAACGCGCCCGCGGGGCACCGCTTCTTGAACGCCGCGTGGCCGGAGGCCTCGTGCTGCTCTCTCTCGATCTCCGTCGGGCTGAAGGGCCCCTTCCACGACCTTAGCCTCCGTCACAGGCTGACCGTCAACCTGCTGCTGGTATCGTTCCCCAACCGCCTTCCTAAACTCGAGATCCTGCTCGTGCTTATGCTCGCGCTGAACCAGGCGAGCCCACAACTCCTTCTTCGTGCCGTAGACCGCGCCGCCCAGCTCCTTCAGACGAGCTCGCGGCAAGTCAACTCGAGAGCCTGGTCTCAGCTCTGCTCCCGTTGGGCCCCTCACTGCCTTCTCCTCTGCCCTCGGAGCCGGCGGACCTTCTGCTGGCCCGGCCGCTGCGGGAAGACTCCTCTCGGGAGCCGCGGGGGCCGCGCCGCCGGGCCCCGACGAAGCCGACCCAGCGCCCTGCGCCATGGGCGCAGGCGCGATGGCCCCGTCGGCCTGGACGGCCCCCTCGCCCCTCATCTCCGCGTCCTCGCTCGCCGCGACGATGCCCGTCGCGACCTTGGAAGAGCGACTCCCTGCCGGTCGCTTCACCTTCTGGACCTCATGCTCGGCATCTTCCATGTCCCTGTGCACGCTCGCTGGCACTCCAAACGCGTTCCTCTTCCGAACTATCGGAGCCTCCGCGCGAGCAAAGGGGCCGATCTCGAAATCGGCCCGGCAAGCCACCTGACCCTCCCATCGCGACGGGAACCCTCGATTCGCCGTCGAGAGAAATGTTCTGCTTCTTGGCGGCTCTTTCACCATGATGTGCTTGGCGAAACCCCGTCTCGCACAACGCTCGTCACTTTCGCCGTCCAGCATCAAGAAATCATCGACGCCGTAATCTGGAGACTTCGCACCACTGCCGATGGCCATCATCACCTCGTCATCGCAGGGGCGGTACAAGGACTCGTCCTCCAGCTGGTTGTTGACCGTGTCATGGCCGTCGAAGTCCAACTGGTCCCCGATCGAGTCGTGGAAGCAGCAGTCCACCTGGTTGCCGACCGAGTTGTGGAAGCCGTAGTCCACCTGGTCGCCGACCAAGTCGTGGGAGCCGTTGTCCACCTGGTTGCCGATCGAGTCGTCATCGTCCTAGCTCTCGAGCGCCATGCAGAAGCCGCGCTCGTCAGAGTCGTCCTCGCTCGCCACGATGATCGCCTGGACCTCGCTGCTGCTCGACGAGACTGGCCTGGCCCTTCTTCTTCTCCTATTGGTCGTTCTTGAACTTGAAGCAATTCAGTTTGATGTGGCCCTTCTTCTTGCAGTAGTGGCAAGTCTTCTCCGCGTCAGGGTTGCTGCCTATGCTCCTGCCAGCTCCACCGCCGCCAGAGTCGCCTTTACCACCGCGATCCCTGCCTTTGCCTTTTCCGTCCTCTCCCTCGCCCTTACCGAGCCAGCACTTGTCAGCAGTGTGACCGAGCTTCTTGCAGATGGTGCAGCGGGGCTTGTCGAACCCGATGGCGTCAACACTACCAGCGGCATCCGCCTGCATCGGCGCCGCTCCTGACCCTCCGGCCACCTCAGGGGGCCTCGGGACAAAAACCTTCACATTCCTCTCCATGCAGTGCTAGCGAATCCTGGTCCGCATCACCGCGTAGTTCTCCCGGACCTCATGGCTTGCACCGTCGGAAACCTTCCTGATCGGAAGCGGCGCGTGGCCCAGGACGGCCGCGCACTTCATTATGTCCGAGATCTTCTCCTGGTTAGCCAACTTATACTGCGTGACCATCTGGTCCCAATCGTGAAGGACTTCCGCGAAGCTGCGCCCCGAGTGATCGTCGCTCGTCCACCACTTAGGCTGCACAGTCGTGGTAAGCAGACTGTGCTCCGATGCGCCGCCCTGGGGTCGATATTCCGCATAGATCTGCCCCAGCGCCTCAAACCCATTTCCAGCACCAGCAAGCTTCGTCATAGTCTGAGCCTTTCCTCGCATCTTCATGGCCAGGAACGTGCCCAGGTTGCGCGATAGCTCGCGCGTCTCCTCATTCGTTATGCTCTCGAAGCTGATGGGGCCGACATGCGTCACCGCTACATCGTAGAGGTGCCTCCAGCCCATCTCGGTGACCTCCGCCTCCATCGTGAAGAACCAGCTCACGAACTCACCATGTGCGCCTCCGAACGTGTCGCCGGCCCGTATGTCCTTCAGCGCCCACATCTGATATCTGCCACCAAAAGTCAGCGTCGCCATCGTTGCTTACCGCGCCAGCTGCCTCAGCCACTCGTCGCTGCTCACCGCGCCTGCTGCCTCAGCCAGGCGCTGCTCTTCACCGCGCCTGCTGCCCCAAGCCATGCGCGAGCCGTGGAACGCTGCCTCAGCGAGCTCTCGGCTCCGCTACCATGTTTTCTCCACGGTGCGTGGGCGAGCCTCCGACGCACCTTTTTGTCTGAGCCTTAACGTCCGCAGGACAACACGCTGCATTGAGTGAAGGAGGCACTGGAACTTACCACACATTCTCTACAAACGGAAAAAGCGAGAGAGAGAGAGAGAGGGAGAGAGAGAGAGAGAGACAAAGATACCGAAAACGAGGGAGAGAGAGGAAGGGAGGGAAAGCGGGACAGAGAAAGAGAGAGATCTTCAGAGAGCGAAACCACACACAAAGCGCATCTATATAACAATGTATATATATGTATATGTGTATATATATAGAGAGAGAGAGAGAGAGAGAGAGAGAGAGAGAGAGAGAGAGAGCGAGAGAGAGAGGAATATAGAGAGAGAGAGAGAGATAAAAGAGAGAGAGAGAGAGAGAACGAGAGAAAAACAAAAAAAAACACAGATGTTGCATGGAAGCCGGGCCCGTCGCTAATCCACACGCCTTGATCTACGTTTGTTTTTCCTCGGCCCTGGTCCTCTCATCCCTCTCGCTTCCTGACCCGTCTCCTCCCCCGCCCCTCTGGCCGAGAGTCCCCAAAATGAGGCGGGACGCGCCTTGTCTAGCAACGCCAGGTCTAGCGTCGCAGCCTGGCGCACAGCAGCAGCGGCGGCAGGGAAATAACCAGGTGGAGACGTGGAGCAGAGCAGGAGGAGGGCGCAGACAAAACGACAGCGACGTCGACGACGAGGGCGAGGAGGGGCGAGGGCCACGGCAGCGGCGTCGCGGATGGCAGAAATCCCCCCCACCACGGGAGCATATATCTTGAGGACTGCCGCTGCGGTGGGCTTGCGCCAGATGCACGCCGACCTCAACTGACGATTGATCTGCCGAGTACGCGAGGCCAGCATCCACATCCACTAGGCCCCAGGCAGCCCAAATGCCTCTGTACCCACTGCATCCAGAGGTCCAGGGCAACCAATCGTCTTCCAAAGGGACAGGAGAGTCCAGCATCGAATCGACAAGTCGGATCGGCGATCGACATGGATCGGATCGGCGGGAATCGGCAGCCGAGTCGGGAAAAGTCGAATCGGCGGAACTCGGCAGGCTAGTAGGCCTCCATTGAGGAATCGGAGCCCAGATCGAAATCCGCAATCGCATCTAATCGTAGTCGGAAGCCATCGAAATTGAATCGAATCGGGAGGCTCGAGATGAGTCCTGAAGGGATGGTGATGGTCCAATCGGGGGTGGACAGACCCCCCTTTAGCAAAACGTGGTTTAGTGAAAATGACCTGAGGCCCAAACCTGGCGGGCGCAAGCCTGGAAAATAGCGGCCACGGCGCCCTCTCGAGAACCGAAAACGGACAATTCACTAATCGACGTGTCACTGTTGGGGGTTCTGTCCACCCCCGGTCCAAGTCTTGCTTCGGAGATATACACCACGACCTTGCGAGCATCAGGCCATGCAGGCCCGCCACGGCTGGAGCGTGTTGTGTGTGGCACGAGGCAGGCCGCGTGCGGCGAGGGCTGTCCCCGCCGTCTGGACGAAACGCTGCAGCGGCGTCTTCCGTCGACGCGGAGGCGCTATGGCCTCACGCGTGTGCGCCTGTGTTTGGCTTCGCGCGTTGACGTGGTCTGTCGAAAACGACCGTGCGCCAACCACAGCATAGCGGTCATGCATGGCTGGCCGAGCATCGCTGAGGGTTCTGACCCGTGCTGTCTCGCCACCCGAACAGGACACATGACGGCTCGTGGCAGGGTGGCCCCAGTGGATGGGTCCCACCCGCCCTCTGGGAGCAGGTGGTTTAAGGGGATCGTTCTTCCAACCCCCTTCTTCCCCTGGGTTATCTCTGCTCGCGGTGCGATCTATATTCCGTCCACCACTCGACCGACCGCTCACTGGGAACCATGACCCCCCCTCCCTACCACTCTGGACAAAATGGTACAAACGCCCGTGGCGGCAAACTCTGGATTATGAGCAAGCGCCGGCCATCGCTTTGCGTCGGTTTTTGGCAAGGGGTGGCGGGCGTGTGACTCTATTGTCCGCTGTTCGCTCGCCCGCCACTGTCCCGATTCGAAGCCGAGGTGAGCTGATTGCGGGTGCGCACGCCGTATACCATGCTGGGATGGTGTGCGTGTGTGTTGTGTGCGTTGTGTTGTGCTGTGCTGTGCTGTGCTGTGTGGTGTTGTGTGGTGTTGTGTGGTGTTGTGCTTGTGTGTGTGTGTGTCGTCATGTTGCCCGATCTGTGCTGACGCGTGCACTGGCGCGTCGGTTGTTGCCTGGCGCACTCTGCGCGCTCCGCGCACCTGCCGAGGCTGGAGCACGTGACATCGTTGGGGCACGTGGCGTGTCTGGCGCACCAAGCGCGCCTGATACGCTTGGGTGCCTGGGCCACGTGGCGCTCCTGGTGCGCGCTGCGCACCTGGCTCGCGTGGTGCGCCTCGCGGGCGCAGCGCGCATGGCGTCTGTGCTGGTTCGCGATGGCTGTCCATCCGATGGCAGCCTCTGCCCATGCTGAGTCGATGGCTCTACTTCTAGGGTGGGAGGGCGGGTGGGCGTACTTCACCTCCCCTCCTTTCACCTAGGACTGGAAATGAGGGGGGAGTCACAATGCGTTAGGGCATCCAGTCCAAGGAGGCTCAATATGGCTCCAGGATGACCTCATATTGCCCACAAACATTTTAGGATGGCTTAGTCTAGCTCCCAACATGCCCTCTAAGAGGCCTCGAGAGCGCCCCGTGGCGGCTCCAAATGGAACCAGACAACTCCGCTGTGCATCGTCTCTGGATGGACTGGTGGGGACACGCGAAGCTTCAATTTCTATGCGGAAGCAGAGGGCGAGGACAGAACGAGGTGCAGCTCGGAGAATAAAAAACTGACAGCTTCCCAACGATTGAGAAGGGGTCTCCACCATGCAAGAACTGTTCAGACCGAAAGGGGGATCCGAGAACACCTGGGATACGCACTGAGGACCCCGAGAAACAGCTGTACGGCAATGGTGGGACCCTGTCCAAACGACCAATCCTTGATGCACCATCGGAACTCGCCGGCCCAGCGGGCCAGAGGCGTGCCAAAGTCTCCGGTGAGAGGTCCATCATCTTTCTTGCCCGCGCGCGCGTGGCGACCCCTGGGGGTCCCCGGACGACAAGTACTCCGGGAAGGTGCGGGGCACTGGTCGAGGCAGGAAGAGCAGGAGGAGGAGGAGGAGCAGGAGGCGGAGGAGGAGGAAGAGGAGGAGGAGGAGGGGGAGGAGGAGGAGGAGGAGGAGGAGGAGAGGAGGAGGAGGAGGAGGAGGAGGAGGAGGGGAGGAGAGGAGGAGGAGGAGGAGGAGGAGGAGGAGGAGGAGGAGGAGGAGGAGGAGGAGGAGGAGGAGGAGGAGGAGGAGGAAGGAGGAGGGGAGGAGGAGGAGGAGGAGGGAGGAGGAGGAGGAGGAGGAGGATGGCCGAACTCCTGGGCGCGGCCCTGCAGGCGCCTGGAGCGCTCCAGGAGCCGCCCCCAGGGAGGCGCCAGACAGGTGGCAGAGGCTCCAGGGGCTCAGGCCCACAGAGCGCTCCAAGAGACGGCCCCGAGCTGGCCTCGAGGCGGCCCAAGGAGGCGCCGAGAGCGCACGAGGGGGCTCCAAGAGAACCCCACAGGGGCCCCCAGAGGTAAACATCATGGATCTTGCTTTGGTAATCGACAGATTTTTTGGGTTACCGCCTTTTCAAGCGACCGCCCAGGACGGCCCTCCAAGAATGCCCAAGAGGGCCTCAAGACAGCCGACGAGTCCTCCCAAGAGGGCTCCAAAGGCTCCCAAGAGGGCCCCAGGAGGAAGAACCCGAACAGACATGTCGAGCCTTTCCCGAAACTCGGCCCCCGAGACCGCCAGTAGGCTCCCAAGAAGCCTCTAAGAGGCCACCAAAGGCGCAAAAGCGTGTCCCACCGGGCCCCGAAGAACTCCCAGGACCCCTTCAAAATGCTGCAATGAGGCCCCCGACAAGCCTCCCGAGAGCCAAGGAAGCCTCCCAAAGAGGCACCTTGTCTACGACCCAGTTTGCTCCCAACTGTGCACCAAGAGGCCGTCGAAAGGCCTTCTCCCTCTTCTCTTCCACCACCGGGCACGCCGCTACGATGGTGATATATGTTCCGACGGAATGCCCGAAGCGATGAAATAATGGAACTTGGCTGCAATACTCCAACGTGTAGGATCGCTGGGCTGCAAGCGTTCTACGTGCGAGAACTCTGGTGCCACTGTTGATCGCGATGCTAATGCAGTCATGCCTTCACGAACATGCCCCGCTTGGAGGCCGATGCCATTTCACGCCTGTGTCTGCCCGTCGGGAACAAAAAACTGGCCGCCCCTCCAGACCCAGCCCCACCCCTGGGCGATCTCCTATCATGGTGCAAAATAGGTATATCCACATGTATACATCCATGGATGTGTACATGTAGATTCCCAAAACAATGCTTGTAAGTAAAAACTCTCCCTTCCCTTCTAAGAGACTGGGCTCGCCTGCTGGCCCAGCGGCCCCGTTCCGGTCCGTTGCCACACTATCTTTCCTAATGCAAGGCTGGTCTGTTGGCCCGGCGGCCCCGTTCCCGTCCGCCGCCGCCGCCCCGCTGCATCCCCCGGTTCGAGTCGCACGCCATCCACTGCTCTTCATTGCTTTGCATCGCATGGCACTCCTTTGCAATGTTTTGCACTGTTCTGCGCCACGCAGATGGCACCACATGGATTGCACCGCCTATGTTGCACCACATTGGTTGTTTCTCCTTTTAAAAAAATAGAATAGACTTTACCCCCCCCCCCGGCGTTATCCGCCCCCCCTTCGGGTACGTAAACCATTGATGATTCTGACCACATGTCCATCCGAAAAATGAATTTACTCTGTCCCAGGGGGGCCGGTATCGGTTCCCCTGAGATTCCCTTGTAAAAAACAATACGCGGGGATATGTCTTGTTCGAACATTGGACTTTTTCAGGCATCCCTTGCAACAAATGCGACGAAGTGCGCACGCGCGCGTCGTCCCGCGCGCATGCCGAAATCCTTCAAACACCTTCGGTGTCGGAAGGATCTCGCAATCGAGTTTCCCCCAAAACATACAAAACAATTGGATTTCGCAACACTGATTTGCTAAGAGAGCTTACGCGCGAGCTCGTGCGAAATCTCCAGAAAACCATCGGTTTTTCAAGATTTCACAAAGTGCTACCAAACGGGCTTCGCGCGCGCGCATGCCGAAATCTGTCGAACACCCTTGCGCGTGTGCCGTCGCGAGAATCCTCTACAAAAGATGGGACAAAGTGCAGACGCGCGCGTCGTCGCGCGCGTATGCCGAAATCCTGCAAAACCCATCGGCTTCGGAAGGACTTCAAAATCGTGTGTCCAGAAAACCTACAAAAACACAAGATTTCGCAACATGGATTTTCAACAAAAGCGTCGTTGGCGTCGGCGTCGTCGTCGTCGCCACCGTCGTCGTCGTCGTCGTCGTTGTCGTCGTCGTTGTCGTCGTCGGCGTGGTTGACGTCGTCGTCGTCGTCGTCGTCGTCGTCGGTGTCGTCGTTGTCGTCGTCGTCGGCGTCGTCATCGTCGTCGTCGTTGTCATCGTCGTCGTCGTCGTCGTCGGCGTCGGCGTCGTCGTCGTCGTCGGTGTCGTCGTCATCGTCGTCGTTGTCGGCGTCGTCGAAGTCGTTGGAGACGTCGTCGGTGTCGTCGTAGTCGTTGTCGGCGGCGTCGTCGTCGTTGTCGCTGTCGTCGTCGGCGTCGCTGTCGTTGCCAAGTGCCATTGGTTCCCACCGTCACGGTCTTAAGAGATTTTACAAACCATGTTGCGGGTGGATGGGTGGGATGGTTGCGCGAGCAGTGGAGTGGACAACTCACTGCGAACGGAAATTAATTGCACCACCTAGATTGCACCGCATAGATTGCAAGAACTCGCTGTTTGGGGTCCAAGCTGGCTAATATGTAGATGTGTATATCCGCCACCATGCCGCGGGGCACGGAGTGGGCGTGTCCTCAGGTCCTTTGCCTAATCACTTCCCGAAGACGTCCCAAGAGGCCCCCAATCGCCCCCCCAGAGGCCTCAAAACGACCCCAAAGACGTCTCACGCGACATCCCAACGAGCATTCCAAAAGCCTATGACCCACAACCGAGGCACGGTAACGGGATGGGCCGAATACAGCAGTGCATAGAAGCATATACTTTTTTTGAATGTGCTTGTTTGTATGCGTGCATGTATGCATGTACGCATGCATTCATACATGCATGTATGTAGGTATGTATGCATGCCTGCAAGAATGTGCGTATGCATATATGCACGCACGCATGCAAGCACGAATGTATGTATGTGTGCATTTAGTTATGCATGTATATTGGTATAGTATGTCAGTATGGATGCATGCATGTCTGTATGTATGCATGCATGGTTGTATGACTGTAGCTATGCGAGCATATATACATATGCGTGTGTATGCATGTATGTATGCATGCATGTATGTATGAATGAATGTATGCGTGCATGCATCTATGCATGTATGTATGCATGTATGTTTGTATGCATGCATGCATGCATGTATCTATGTATGTATGCATGCATGCATGCATGTATGCATGTCTGTATTTATGTATTTATATAGGCACGTGGATGCATATATGCATGTATGTATGCATGTATGTGTGTGTGTGTGTATGCATGCATGTATGCATGCATGCATGCATGCATGCATGCATGCATGCATGCATGCGTGCGGGCGAGGCGAAGCTGCGTGGGCGGGCGAGAAATAAGTCTCCTGTAGCTGAGGCGCGGCCGCACCAAAAGTCTCCGTTCCGGCAACCGGTGCCCCGCGGTGTCCCGCCGGTGTCCCGCTCGGCGGCTGGTGGCGCGCGGTGTCCCGTCGGTGTCCCGCCGGTGTCCCGTCGGTGTCCCGATGATGATGATGATGATGATGAGGAGGATGTTGGTGATGTTGACGATGATGATGATGATGATGGTGATGGTGGTGATGATGATGGTGTCCCGGTGATGATGATGATGATGATGATGATGATGATGATGATATTGACGATGTTGATGATGATGGTGATGGTGGTGATGATGATGGTGCCCCGATGATGATGATGATGATGATGATGATGTTGATGATGCTGATGTTGCTGATGATGGTGCCCCGATGATGATGATGTTGATGTTCCTGATGATGTTGATGATGATCGCATTATTTGATGATGATGAAGATGACGATGATGGTGTCCCGATGATGATGATCAGGTTGATGATGATGCTGTTGATGATGCTGGTGATGATGATGATGGTGCCCCGATGGTGATGATGATAATGATGATGGTGATGACGATGGTGGTGTCCCGATGATGATGTTGATTATGATGAGGTGATGATGATGATTTTGATGATGGTGGCCAAATGATGGTGATGATGATGCTGATGTTGATGATGATGATGGTGTCCCGATGTTGATGATGATGGTGATGATGATGATGGTGACGATGACGATGGTGTTCCGATGATGATGATGATGATGATGATGATGATGATGTGGCTAATGATGATGATGCTGATCATGATCATGATCATGATGATGATGATGGTGTCCCGATGATGATGTTGTTCATGATCAGGATGATGATATGATGGTGATGATGACGATGGTGGTGGTGGTGTTCCGATGATGAGGATGGTGTCCCGATGATGATGATGATGATGATGATGATGGTGACGATGATGGTGTCCTGATGATGATGGTGGTGTTGACGATGATGATGTTGATGATGATGGTGATGAGGTGATGATGGTGATGGTGTCCCGATGATGCTGATGATGATGATGATGATGTTGATGACGTTGATGACGATGATGTTGATGATGATGATGATGACGACGTTGATTGTGATATCGATTTTGACATCGATAGTGAGATCGATAGACCGAATGTGAGATCGATTGTGAGATTGGTAGTGAGATCGATTGTGAGATCGATAGTCAGATCGATTGTGAGATCGATCGAATGAAATAGATCGAGTGAGATCGATTGTGCGATCGATCGGGTGAGATCGATCGAGCGAGAACGATAGTGAGATCGAATCGAGTGAGACGTTGGTTCCTCCGCCCCCCCGAACCTCCTTATCACCCGAAGGGTGGTTGTATAGGTATATGTATGTATGTATGTATGTAAGTATGTAAGTATGTATGTATGTAAGTAAGTAAGTATGTATGTATGTATGTATGTATGTATGTATATATGTATGTATGTATACAGGTGCGTGTATGCATAAATGTATGTATGTATGCATGTGCGTATATAATTGTGTAGGTATATGCGTATGCATGTACGTATGCATGCATGCATTCATTTGTGCATGTCGGACGTTGGGCGGTGAGTCCGACGTGAAACAGAGACCCCCCTACCGGGAAATCGATTTCGGTTTCGGGTTCGCGTCGTGCGTGCCGTGCGTGCGTGCGTGCGGGCGGGCGAGAGGAAATCCTCCTGTGGCTGGGCCGCGGCCGGACCAACTGTTTCTCCTCCGGCGGCCGGTGTCCCGCGGTGTCCCGCCGTTGTCCCGCTGGTGTCCTGAAATCCTCCTGTGGCTGGGCCGCGGCCGGACCAAATGATTCTCCTCCGGCGGCTATAGTGGCCCGCGGTGCCCCGCCGGTGTCCCGCTGGTGTCCCGGTATCCTCCTGTGGCTGGGCCGCGGCCGGACCAAATGTCTCTCCTCTGGCGGCCGGTGGCCCGCGGTGGCCCGCGGTGTCCCGCCGGTGTCCCGTGGTGTCTTGTGGTGTCCCGTTGAGTGAGATCGACAGTGAGATCGATAATAAGATCGATACTGAGATCGGTTTGGTGCCCCGAGGTGTCCCGTGGTGTTCCGTTGAGTGAGATCGATAGTGAGATCGATAGTGAGATCGACAGGTGTCCCGTGGTGTCCCGTTGAGTGAGATCGATAGTGAGATCGATAGTGAGACCGATAGTGAAATCGAGAGGTGTCCCGCGGTGTCTCGTGGTGGCCCGTGGTGTCCCGTGGCGTCCCGTTGAGTGAGATCGATAGTGAGATCGATAATGAGATCGACAAGTGTCCCGTGGTGTCCCATGGTGTCCCGTGGTGTCCCGTGGAGTGAGATCGATAGAGAGATCGATTGAGTCAGATGTTGGTTCCCCCCCCCCGCCACCCTCCCCAACCTCCTTATCACCCGAAGGGTGGTCGTATAGGTATGTATGCATACATGCTTGCATGCATGAGTTCACATGATGCGTTTCCGCACACGGCTGCAAGGAGCTACCCAAGAATCACCTACCGCCCCTGCCAATCCCGCCCCACTTCGACTGTGCTGAGCTCTCCCTGGCTTCCCGCGCCACTTCGGAGCTCCTGGGGCCCCCCTTCGGCCTCGTGACGGGTGCCCCCCCACCTGGGCCTCCCTGGGCATCCCGGGGACACCTTGGCCCAAGGATGCCCCCGGCGACGCCCGGCCCCGCTCCTGGCAGCCACCGCCGGGCGCCAGACACCCCCCCCCCCGGGGGCGGGCGGCGCGCGGCCGCGCGACCCGCGCGGGAGGGCGCGCGGCGGTCCTGCGCGGCCCCCGGCGGCCCCGCGGGGGCGACCCCGGAGGCGACCGGGATGGCGCCGCCAGAGCCCCGCGTGCCTGCCGCCTGGGCGGGCGGGCGCTCAAGGGGGGGGGGGGGCGGTCGGGGGCCGGGCGGCGCGGAGGCTCGAGCCTCCGCGCCTCGCGGCGGCCGGAGGCGCCCGCGCAGAGGTCGAGGAGAGCGCGGGGCGGTGGAGTGTAGGGGGGCGGGAGTCAAGACAAGTCCACAGGAAGGATGCGCGGTGAGGATGCAGAAGCGCCCGGCGGCGGCGGCGACGCCGACGATGGCGACGGCGGCGGCGCGACAGCAATGGGGCGAGGAGGAGAGGAGGCAAGTGGAGCATCCAGGTCTCTGGCCTGGTGTTTTTGCATCGCCGCGGGTTCTGCATTTCCTAAATTATTCGACCGCTGGAGGCGTGTGCTCGGGCTCTAGGGTGGTCAACCAGCAACTCGGGGTGAAAGCTGTCCCTGAGGAAGCGGTCGGGACTTCCAGGAGGCAAGTCTAGCGACGAAAAGAGAAGGGGGGGGGGGCTTACGTGCGAGACGTGGCAACCTTACGCGGCTGGCTGCTCACGCGGCACCGCTTTGAGAAGATGGAGTTCACGCAAGACCTTACGCGGGCAGCTTATGCGCGAACATCTACGCAGTAGTTCCCGTTTGTTTAAATCGCCTAGGTGGAAGAGGAACGAGGACCAGGCGGAGGAGGACAGAGGAGGTGAAGGTGGAGGCGGGGGGCGAGGTGGGGGGAGGGGAATGGTGGACAAGGGGAGAGGGGATTTCTTTTGTTCCTGACCCCTCCTCATGCATCTCCCTCCCCCCTCTATGCCCTTGGACATAAGTGACTTGGCGGCTCAACTCATCAAAAAACAGTCTCTTCCCCAGACCTCCGACGGCGTGATTTGTTGAGTACGGGACCTCAGAAGCATCTGATCCCTTTCAGCAGGCCGACGTTCATCCTGAGTCATGCTTGAATGTCGCAGGATCTGCGGGCTCCAAAGGCCGATGATGGGGACACACACCATGCTTGTTTTTTTAAGACGTTGTGACGGTGTGGTGAATAACCTGTTCTCCCTCTTTGGGCACCCGTTTGCCCCTCTCCTCCCATCACTCCCTGGCTGTCTGCGCCGGGGCGCTGGGATGTGAAAGACGGCGCAGGTTGATTCGAGGTCGCCTCCAAGGATTGCGCAGGATGGCTCGAGTTGGCCTAGATGGCCTCAAACATGACTCCAATGTGGCCCAACACGAGGTTGCCCCGATGATAGCGCATGGTGTTGCAAGTTGGTCGAGATGGTTCCCAAGGTGGCACAAGCAAACCCCAACCTTCGAGGAATGCACCTCAAGGGAGAATGCCATCGAACGGCCCAATATGTTTCACCGCTCTCCGCCTTTGCACTTTCTCGACTTCTGATGGGCCTCCGAGGCCTACAGATGGTCCCGAGATGGCCGACTAGGCCCCGACAAGCTGTTCGGAAACAGGTTGGTAGAACGTAGAAACATATACGGCAACATAGAGTGGCCTTCCGCCCACCAGCATTACAAGCAAGCGCATGGGATACTGTCGATTCTGGAGGTTGGAAGGCACTTCAAGCACTGACAATGGGGACCTGGACATCCAACAACACTTCATGTCAGTGAGTGGCCTGTGACAGAGGCTCAGCGGGGCCTCACGAGAGCAGAGCCCCCCAGAGATCCAGATCGCATCCCACGATAGTCTCCAGTGGGCCTCAAGAGAGAGAGAGAGAGGCTTCAACATGTGAACATGCCATTGGTGAGAGGAGGGGGGGGGAGGGCTTCCAGCACGGCCCAAAGAGGGCCACCGAGAACCTCAGCAGAGCCCCCGAGTCGGCAACCAGCAACAGCCGAGACTCGGCTGGGGCCCCCCTGAGCTTCTTGGAGGCCTGACTTTCTCTTGGTGGACCGTCGGGCGGCTGAGTTTTTCAGGAGGAAAAAAAACACACAGACACAATTAATCGGCGATTCCCAGAAAACATGGGAAAATATGGGAAGTGGGGGGGAAGACAGAAACCCAGAAAATATGGGAAAGTATGGGGGATACTTTTATTTGTGTGTATTTATTTGTGTGTTCCAGTTCCCCTTCAGTTTTGCTCTTGCCCTGCGATCACTGCGCCCTCCTCCGCGGCTTCGGGAGCACACGCCGCGCTCGCTGCCCTCTTGCCTGGGCCGCCGCACCCCGCGCGAGCCGCGCCCCGCGGCCCCGCGACGCGCGACCCGCGGCCTCCCTTCGCGCCCCCCGCGCCGCGCCCACTGGAGCAGGGCAGCTGTACCCTGCCCCAGGCCGCGGCAGGAGGAGGAGGGGGAGGACGAGGAGGAGGAGGAGGAGGAGGAGGAGGAAGAGGTGGAGGAGGCGGTGTAGGAGGAGGAGGAGAACGAGGAGAACGAGGAGGAGGAGGAGGAGGAGGAGGAGGCGGAATGGGGAGGAGGAGCAGCAGAAGCGCGAGGATCTCCGCGCCCCCCTCGGGGCGACCCGAGGGCCTCTGCGACGGCCCCCTTCCGCTGCGGGCGCTGGCCGCACAGAGAGGGGAGCCCTCCCTTCTTGGAAGAGCTCAGGGCAGGTTCACGGACCGACCTCGCCTGCAGCGTCGTGCCGCACCGCGGCGTTTGTTACAGTCGGGGCGCTGACCCAAGGAACCCTGAATAAGGAACGGGGCCCCTTTCTCCCACAAGTTGAACTTCGATCTCCCATGGAAAACCTCAGGAAAACAGAAGGCAAACTGTCGAACAATCCTGCGCGGAACTCGTTCGCGCGAGGGTCGGCACAGGCGACCCCGCGTTTCTGCGTCGCTCAGCTGGCCAGTGCGTCGCGGGCAGCAGCCACCCTCGAGGGGAGGGAGGGAGGGAGGAGGGAGGGAGGGAGGGAGGGAGGGAGGGAGGGAGGGAGGAGGAGGAGGAGGAGAGAGGAGGAGGAGGAGGAGAGGAGGAAACACCGAGCCCCTCCCCAACGAAAAGGGTTCCTTCTTCAGGGCCCCGGCTGTACAGGCCGCACGGCCTGCCCAGCGCCGGGTCCGTGCTCCTCCTTCGCACCCCGTCTCTGGCGGGACGGCCGCGCGCGTTCGTCGCCGGGGTGTGGGCCGGGTGCGCACCTCGGCTGCGGAGCAGATCGGTGGCGGGGCGTTGTGTCCAAACTCGAGCTCGAACGCGCTTCCCAGGCGAGGTTACTGAGCGGTGTAGGCGATTGCCGCTCGAGCTTGCACCTGATCTGTCACCGGCTCGTGCAGCTGAGCGCTCTGGAAGAACACGTGGTCATCATCATCATCATCATCATCATCATCATCATCATCATCATCATCATCATCATCATCATCATCATCAGCATCATCGTCATCATCATCATCATCATCATCATCATCATCAGCATCATCATCGTCATCATCATCATCATCATCATCAGCATCACCAACATCATCAAGGTCATCCTGATCCTGATCCTGATCATGATCCTGATCCTGTTCCTGATCCTCCTCCTCCTCCTCCTCATCGTCATCATCACCACCATCATATCCATCTACATCAACATCAGCATCAGCTTCAGCAGCAGCATCAGCATCTACATCAGCATCATCATCGTCGTCATAGTCGTCATCATCATCATCACCATCACCATCACCATCACCACCACCACCAACCATCACCGTCACCATCACCATCATCATCATCATCATCATCATCATCATCAGCAGCACCAGCACCAGTACCAGCATCAGCACCAGCACCAGCATCAGCATCAGTATCATCATCATCATCATCATCATCATCATCATCATCATCATCGTCATCATCATCATCATCATCATCATCATCATCATCATCATCATCAGCATCATCATCATCATCTGCATCGCCAAGTGCGTGACGCAGATCGGTGGCGGGGAGTCGTGTCCAATCGCGAGCCCGAAACTAACCAATCTGTGTCAACACTTGCTCCAAACACGTGTGCGATGTCCACTGCCATTCGAGAGAACACTTGTTCGACAAGTGATGCTCGGATAACCCAGGCCGTGTCCCCTATGCCCCCTTCACCCCGCCATACCGCGCGGGGGCGGATACGCGCGGGCAGCGAAAAAGGAGGAACTCCGCGCAACTCATCCGATCGAAGCTACAGTCGCCGAGCAGTATACTGCAACCTCTCATCAGCGCGGTGATGCCATTGCAAAGGGCTGCGTGGACTGCTACACCATTCGCACTGAATGGGGTACCCCTCTTTGCTTCGCTTCTGCTCATTCGCTTCTCTTCTCTTCTCACGGCGACTCGCCTGTGTATCGTCTCTGGATGGGCTGGTGGAGAGACGCGACGCGTAGACTCTAGAGAACCAGCGCCAATTCGCGACACCAACATCTGGCCAAACCAGCGTGGCTCTCTCGGGTCTGCGCTGGGCCCTCTCCGCTCGCTCCTCCGTCCCATGCGCGCCCCGCGCGCCGGAGAAGGGGTGTGGGGGGGGTCCCAGTGCCGACCCGACACAAGCGCGTTCCACTACTCGCGGGGCAGCGACTCGCAAAGGGCCTGGATCCGCCGCGCGAGACTCACGATCCATTAGTTACATGGATCGGGGAGACGTAAGACCCGGGTACGGGGGACTCGGAAATCCCCGACGAGGTCGTCAAGAAAATGACGAGCCCGAGCCTGCATTTTGACGAGGCCTCCCGCTGCAGACATCCCACGAAACTCCTCCTCGTCAAAATCCGAGGCGCGGTCGTCAAAAAACGATGGCGAACCCGAGTCCTGGCAAACCCAGGTCTTACGCTCCCCCGAATGGAGGAAGCCGTGTTTCTTCTGGGGCGCTTGCGAAATAGGCACTTTGCGAGTACCGGAGCGCGCTCGGCGAGGCCCATAGGAGGTCCGCGCGGACCTCCCAAGACTTCCTGCTCGTGCTGTCTGCTTCGTCTCGCAAGCGAAGCGCCTCCGCCCTGCCTTGGGGAACTCGGGGGCGCCACACTCGCCATCGCTCGGACGTCCATTTCCCTCGCATTTTTCGGTTTCGTGCGTGTTGTTTTTTTTGCTCGATGGTCCAGGATGGTCCTGGATGGTCCTCGCCGAAAAAAAAAAATGCACACGTCCGAGCGATACCAGGCACAGGGGGGGGAAGCTCGCGAGCCGGGGCCCCCGCTGCACGTGCGCGGCCCAGGCGGGGGGGGGGTGCCAAGGGGCGCCCTGGAGCAAGACGCGGGGGCCCCGAACTCCGGGCAGAGACCATGTCCCCGGCCATTCGAGAGCCCACAGAGGACGTGCGCGCCCAGCTAGGCACACGAACACGGCCCCTCGATCTGCGAGACCGGCCGCGTGGTGCGGAACTTTCGGGCGATGCGTACCCTCGAGGCCAGCGAGGGTTCATGTACGTGTGCATCCTCCTTTCGCTCCTGAGCCATGCTGTCCGCGCCCCCTTCCTGCCACCTCCCCGCCCTCCGTGGACGGCCCCCCGATGGAGATGCCGAGCCTCCTCCCTGTAACTATGAAGGGGAACTGGGACACACAAATAAATACACACAAATAAAAAAAATCCCATATTTTCTCATATTTTCTGGGTTTTTGTCTTCCCCCCCACTTCCCATATTTTCCCATATTTTCTGGGAATCGCCGATTAATTGTGTCTGTGTGTTTTTTCCCCTCCCTGTAACCAGGCGGGCGGAAAGAGACCCGAGGGCCGCCGCGGGCCGCCCTGCGGCCAGCCCCCGCCCCTCGCGCGCAGGAGCGGGCGGGCGGCCGCGGCCTTCCTCGCCCTCGAGGCCCGCCGGGCCTGCCGGGCGCTGCCGCGCCACCGGCCGACGCTGTCGGCAGGGAGCGCCTCGAAAGCATCGCGCCGTACTTCGCTCTTGAGGCCTCCCGCACGGGGTCGGAGGATCGCGCCGCATCGCTGATGCGTCGCCGACGCATCGGCGATGCGTCGGCGACGTCTGCGGTGCATGGGCGTGGAGAACATCGGACTCCACATCGAGCCGCATGGCCGATGCATCGGCGATGCAGCGCGGTCCTCCGACCCCATCTACTCGGACCCCATTTGGGAGGCGTGGATGTTCGCTGTTCTGAAAGCCGGGGGGGTGTTTCCGCGCCTTGTGCCGTCCTCAAAAACGGTCGGGGACGAGGCACTGGTCCCGCGAAAAGGGCCGAGAAGTCTGGGGGGTGTTCCCAGACATCCGACGCCCTGTTTTTTCGCAGCGTGGCTCCCGAGAGGTCTGGACCTCTGTCTGGGGACAACATTTTTGAATCCCGAGTTGATTATCAACGGTGCGGGGGCCCAATGAAGGACCCCAACGGTCCAGAACCCTCCGTCGCGATTTTTGTGCAGGACGTGATGGGGTCAGGGTCTGGTCTGGGCAGCTACTGCTGGGAGAGACCCCCGTCCTCGATCCATGGGCTGAAAGCCTACGAGAGTAGAGCGACGGCGAGAGAGAGAGAGAGAGAGAACGAGATCGAGAGAGGGAAATACATATGATATTGAGCAGGGAGGAGGTGAGAGCGAGAGATGTAATGATAACATGATAATGATAGAATTAGTGAGGCAGAGCGAGAGAGACAGAGAGAGAGAGAGGAGAAAGAGAGAGAGAGAGGGATAACGAAAAGAGGCAGAGAGAGAGGAGAAAGAGAGAGAGAGAGAGAGAGGGAGAACGAAGAGAGAGAGAGAGAGAGAGAGAGCGAGAGAGTGAGCGAGAGAGTGAGCGAGAGAGTGAGCGAGAGAGTGAGCGAAAGAGAGAGAGAGAGAGAGAGCCAGCGAGCGAGCGAGCGTGGGGTGGAGGCGAGACATCGGACACTGAAAGCTGGGTGCCACGAGCGGGCCACCGAGGAGGAGCCGCCAGGGGGGGGGGCGGGCACGACGGGGCAGCGATGGGGGCCGCCGAGGAATCACACGGGCGCCCAGACGGAGCCACGACGGGGGCCACGAGGGTGCCTCGAGAGGGCCACGAGGGGTGCGGGCACGAGGGGGCCCCGAGGGGGGCTATCAGGGGACCGCCGGGAGGTGACGAGAGGGCAGCGGGCGAGCCTGCCGAGGGCGCGCATCGGGGCATCGGGGCATCCTGCCAGGTTGCCACGGGGGGGGGTGGGGGGCTCGATGCACTGCAATACAGTAGGGGCCAGACCAGAAGAAACCTTCCACAAGAAACCCAACCCTGAAACCCCAGGAGGTCCTTCGATTTTTGGTGTGGGAACGTCACGACTCCCATGGCAAAACCATAGAAACCCAAGAAACCCAGGGCGCCCTGGAGGCAAGCAGGGTGTTTCTTGGCATGGCCCCCTACTGTACTAGACTCCACTGCATCATCGCGAGGATGACGAGGAGGGGCGAGGGGCGAGGGTGAGATGGGCGACCAGACCGATGGCAGAGAGGTTCCGCAAGCTTCTCTCGGCCTGACAGGGTCGTTCCTTGGCTCACTTGGCAAAGCTTTCTGGTCGGCGGGGCAGCCGCCCCTCATTCAGGCTCGACGTCAAGAGATCGGTGCTCGAAGACGCGGCCAGCTGGTTGCTTTCCGCCCCCTCCCCCCTCTTCTTTTCTCGATCGTTCGCTCCCCCTCTTCTTTCTCCTTTCCAGCTCTACCTGGTCCCGGTCCCTACTTAGCTGCGGCCTGGTGCGCGAGGGCGCGGATCTTCTCCTGGTGCTGCTCCTTGGCCTCCGGATGGTGGGGCCAGCGAAAGAAGAGCGCGGAGGGGTGCGGGGAGAAGAAGGCAATCTATGAACTTGGGCGGGGGGGGTGGCAGACAGGATGATGCACGCGACATTGGGGAGGGATAAGAGCTGGAGGAGGCCCAGGAGGACGGCGAGGATACAGAGGATGTGAATGCACAAGAAGCCCACCCCAAGAGGCCCTACCCCGAAATCCGCCGAGGTTTCTTGCACTGCGGCAGCAAACGCAGGCACCTGGGGTACCGTGGCCTGAGCGGTTTCTCTGATCGCCTGCGTAGAGCATTTTGGCGTCAAGACACCCAACGCACCGACGCCCAAGCGACCCAAGGTGTCATGTCATGCCATTTGCAGTCCTGGGGAAGTTGTCTTGAAGACAATTTGGGGCCGTGGTGAGGCCGCCCGTGGGCAGTTTGGGAACCGTCTTGGGCCCTCAAGGGGCCCTCGTGGGCTGTCAGGAAGCCCGTCTGGCTTGTCTTGGAGCAGTTTCCGTTTTTTTTTTTTGTTGTTTGTTTCTCCCCCCCTAGCGATATCGGACGCTCCGAAGCCTGAATGAACGAGTATCCGCACATGTTTGTTAACATTAATTTGGCGACGTACCCAACCCTTGCGCAATGCGGGGCAGGAGTAGCTTGGGAGATTTGACGAGCGACGTGACATGGACGCACATACTTCTGCGAGCGGCATTCGGAAGGTTCGCAGGTCCCCAATCAAAGGGAAACACGATGAGTAACTGAGTGAACCCCTGAGTCACTAAGGAAGACGCAAGGTCCGAAAGGAGACGGTGGGCAAGGGGTCTGAAACGTCGGCGGGGCAGCAGCAACATGACATGGCCCCCCAAGGACGGAAAGGCCCCGCGCAGGTCTGCGCAGTGCCTCACTCCGCTGGACCCACCAGCAGCCTTCGAAAGTGGCGAGCCCACCAACAGGAAGAGGTCCAACTCGGCCAGGTCCAACTCGGCCGGTCCGACTCGGCCGGTCCGACTCGGCCCGGTCTGACTCGGCCCGGTCCGACTCGGCCCGGTCCGACTCGGCCCGGTCCGACTCGGCCGGCCCGACTCGGCCCGGTCCAACTCGGCCCGGTCCAACTCGGCCTGCGTTCCAGCTGCTGCGCGGTCACCGGTCCGACTCGGCCGGCTCGACTCGGCCCGGTCCGACTCGGCCGGCTCGACTCGGCCCGGTCCGACTCGGCCGGGCTCGACTCGGCGGGGAGGGCGAGGAGACAGGTGAGTGCGCGCGCGCGCGTGTGCGTGCGTGCGCGCGGTGATGACGCGACGTTCAATATCAGCAAAGCTGTGTCCCTCTTCTCCTATTTCCCCTCCCCTCGGCTCTCCGGCTCCTCTCTCCTCTCCTGCCTCCCCCCTCCTCCATCCGGATCAAACTTCAACCCAAAAATCGCCGCCAAACCGAAAAAAAAGGAAGGGCGAAACCGGAAATTCCGGAAGGGCGAAACCCGAAAAACACACCGAGCCCAAACCCGAAATCCGAGCAGGGCCCAAAAGAAAAACCTTTGGAGGCGCCTCCCGAGGTCACCGGGGGCACTGGGGCTTCCTTGGGAGCTCACAATGGAGTTCTGAATCGGGTGAGGGGTGCCACGCCATGGGTGTACGGGACGCAGACGGGCGGTGGCACCGGGGCCTTCGGGGGCGCTACCGCTGGGGCTGCGAAACGCGTGATGTGTGTGTGTGTGTGCAGAAATGTGCATGCCGAGGGGAGGGTTCTGAAGCCGAAGCCCCCCCTCTCCCCTAGCGACAGTCCGGAGGCTCCGGGCCCCATGGGGGGGAGGAGGAGGAGGAGGAGGAGGAGGAGGAGGAGGAGGAGGAGGAAGGAGGAGGAGGAGGAGGAGGAGGAGGAGGAGGAGGAGGAGGAGGAGGCGAGGAGGAGGAGGAGTGAGGAGGAGGAGGGAGGGGAGGAGGAGGAGGAGGAGGCAGGAGAGGAGGAGGGGGGAAGGAGGAGGAGGAGGAGAGGAGGAGGAGGAGGAGGAGGAGGAGGAGGAGGAGGAGGAGGAGGAGGAGGGGAGGAGAGGAGAGGGGGAGGTGGAGAGGGAGTGCGGAGAGGAGGAGGAGGACGACGACGACGATGGGGAGGGAGGAGGATGAGGAAGAGGAGGAGGAAGAGGAGGAGGAGGAGGAGGAGGTGGGAGAAGGAGGAGGAGGAAGGAGGAAGGAGGAGGAGGAGGAGGAGGGAGGAGGAGGAGGAGGAGAGGGAGGAGGAGGAGGAGGAGGAGGAGGAGGAGGAGGAGGAGGAGAGGAGGAGAGGAGGAGGAGGCAGTAGGAGGAGAGGAGAAGGCGGAGGAGCAGTAGGAGGAGAGGAGGAGAGGAGAAGGAGGAGGAGGAGGAGGAGGAGGAGGAGGAGGGGAGGAGAGGACGAGGAGGGAGAGGTAGGAAGAGGAGGCGGAGGTAGCAAAGAGGAGGGGGAGGAGGGGAGCACGAGGGGGAGGAGGAGGACGAGGAGAATGAGGAAAATGAGGAATATGAAGATGAGGAGGAGGAGGAGGGAGAAGGAGGAGGAGCAGTAGGAGGAGGAGGAGGAGGAGAAGGAGGAGGAGGAGGAGGGAGGAGGCAGGAGGGGGAGGAGGAGGAGGAAGAGGAGGAGGAGGAGGAGGAGCAGCAGCAGCAGGAGGGGGAGGAGGAGGAGCAGGAGGAGGAGGAGGAGGAGGAGGAGGAGGAGGAGGAGGAGGAGGAGGAGGAGGAGGAGGAGGAGGAGCTGGAGGAGGAGGAGGAGGGAGAGGGAGAGGAGTAGGGTTAGTACTTGATTGTAGGGCTGTGGGCGTAGAGCTAGGGTGTTAGGGTATAGTGGGTTGTAGGTTAGGGTTGTAGGGGTTGGGCTCAGGGTCCGCCCGCCCGTTAGGCCACTGGGAACCTCTGGAGGCTACCAGAGACGTCTGGGACGCCTAGTTCACCTAGCTTCGCGCTGAGCGCCGAGCGGTGCGGTTGTCTTCGCGCCCTCGCGCCGCTTCTGGGAAAGAACACCTCTCCAGCCCAAGCCGCGACGCGCGATGCGCGGTTGTCTTCGCACTGCTGCGGGGTACCTAGGCTCATGAAGCCGTCAGGGCAGCTTCTGCAGACAATCCTCTTGGCTTGCTACTTAGGGTACTCCTTGGGCCGTCTCGGGGGACTCCCGGGTCCCTCGTGGGCCGCCTTGGTGCCCTACGACCGACCCTCCGGGCCGCCCTCATGCCACTCCCTCCCTCCTCTTCCGCCCGAGGCCGCACCCTCCTCTCCATCCCCTCCGTCCCCTCCTGTCCACCTCCCTCCTTGGCTGCACTGATCCCGGCCCTGCGCGCCTCGTCGCACGCTCGTCGTGGCGCTTCTGTGGGCTGCCAGCCGACGTCAGGTGCTGAGGTCCCAGCGCGGCGGCGCCCACCCTCGGGCGCACCCGGTGCTGGGGAGTGGCGCCGAGCTGCACCGGGGCACGCCGGAGCACGCCCAGCCTGCCAACAGCAGCTGCCCGCTCCTCCCTCCCTCCCCTCGGCGGCGAGCCCAGGGGGGAACTGCGAGGGAGAATCGACTACACGTAAGAGTGACCCTGGGTAAGAGTGACCTGTGGTGCGCGGCTTTGGGGGGGCCGCGGGGAGGCCAACTCCAGGCGCGCTAGCCGCTGCTACCGCTTCGCGCCCGGCCATCTGGGGGCCCCTCTGTGCCCGCACCAGAGGTCACTCCGGCGAAAGGTCACCCTTACGTCTAGTCGAGAGAGGGCCTTCTCGGAAGGCCCGGAGGTCCCCTGAGCACCAAGCTGCAAGCTGCACGCCGGAGCACGCCCAGCCTGCCAACAGCAGCTGCCCGCTCCTCCCTCCCTCCCCTCGGCGGCGAGCCCAGGGGGGAACTGCGAGGGAGAGGGCCTTCTCGGAAGGCTCGGAGGCCCCCCGGCCCATATCGACTCGTGGCCTCCCCCGGCCTGCCCCTCCGCGCCGCTGCCTCCCGCCGGCGGCCCCCTCCTGCCCCCCCCCCGGTGGCCCGCTCCCCGGGGGGTCGCGGCGCGGAGCCTGCTGGCACTGGCGCTGCTTCTCCTCGATGATGCTGGCGATGAAGGCCTGCTGCTCCTCGCGAGGAGCGACTCGCGCGCGCCTCTGCCTGACTTGTCGAAAGGGCTGCCTCGTGGTCTCCTCCCCCGCCTCCTCCTCCTCCTCCTCCTCCTCCTCCTCCTCCTCCTCCTCACTTGTTGCAAGAGCTGCCTCGTGGTCTCCTCCTCCTCCTCCTGCTCCTGCTCCTCCTCCTCCTCCTCCTCCTCAGGATGCGGATAATCGAGGAAGATAAACATGAAGGAGGATGATTATTCACTGCGTGGAGCTCCCCATATGTGCATCTACTCGCATGGACCTGTCCGCCGTGAATGTCTAGGCGCAAGAGCTTTCGAATATTAACGGCTTCAGTTGTGCGGTCCTGGACATCATCTAACTGAGAAATGAACTTGAGTGTGAATGAGCCGCAGTAGTACGAGCGCGTCTCGTGCATGAGCCTGGGGCCCTCCTGGGGCCTACCTGAAACTACTGGGGCTTCCTGGCTCTCCATGAGCCTCTTGGGACATCCTGGGACCTCCTAGAAGGTTTCGTGCCCCCGGGAGAAGCGCATCAATAGCAACAGACACGTACATAAAACATTGCGGATTAGAGCCACAGGAGAAGGGCAATCTATAGGAACACGCGTAAAACACCAAGGACTCGTGCCCCAGGAGAGGCCCAATACCTAGGAACATGAGTAAAACATTTAGGATTGTGTACACAGGAGAAGGACCATCTATAGAAACATACGTAGAACATCAAAGAATCGTGCTCCAGGTGAGGCCCAATCGATAGGAGCATACGTAAAAAACATGGGATTGGAGCCACTCCTGTTGCCTTCTGAGGCCTCCTGCTCCTGCGGCCTCTCGGGGCCTCCTGTTGCCTTCCGAGGCCTCCTGGCGCTTCCTGTTGCCTCCTGGGGCCTCCTGTGGTTTCCTGAAGCCTTCTAGAGTTTCCTGGGGCCTCCTGGAGCCTCTTGGGACATCCTGTGGCCTCTTGAGTCTTTCTGTCGCCTCCTGATGCCTCCTGGACCTCATGTGGTCTCCTGGGGCCTCCTGGAGCCTGTTGGAGCCTCCTGTGGCATCCTGAAAAGAATCTGCGCCCACGAGCCTGGCCACCAAAACAAGCAAACCGATCGAGACATCCTCAAAATCTAGCCCACCTGGGGGGTGAAAATGAGCGCCTCGCTCGAGACATCCTCCAAATCTGCTCCGAAAGCGAAGGATGCTGGGCCCAGAAACAAGCAAACCGCCTGAGACATCCCCACAAAATGGCCGCGAACGAGCCCGTGCAAACACCCCTGGCGGCTCCCCTTAGGGGTGCTGAAATGAGCGCCTCGCTCGAGACATCCTCCAACTCTGCTCCGAAAGCGAAGGATGTTGGGCACAGAAACAGGCAAACCGCCTGAGACATCCCCACAAAAATGGCCGCGAACGAGCCCGTGCAACCACCCCTGGCGGCTCCCCTTAGGGGTGCTGAAACCAGCGCCCCGCCGGAGACATCCTCACAATCTGCTCTCCAAGCGAAGGATGTTGGGCCCAGAAACAAGCAAACCGCCTGAGACATCCCCACAAAATGGCCGCGAACGAGCCCGTGCAACCACCCCTGGCGGCTCCCCTTAGGGGTGCTGAGTGTGAGTAAGTCTGTGTATGAGTAAGTCTGTGTATGAGTATGTCTGGGTATGAGTAGGTCTGTGTATGAGAAAGTCTGTGTATGTGTACGTCTGGGTATGAGTAAGTCTGAGTATGACTAATACTGTGTATGAGTAAGTCTGGGTATGAGTGAGTCTGTGTATGAGTACGTCTGGGTGTGAGTAGTATGAGTAAGTCTGTGTATGAGCAAGTGGGAGTATGAGTAAGTCCGACAGGAGGGGAGGAGAAAAGAGGAGGAGGAAGAAGGAGGAGTAGGAGGCGTCCAAGTAATAACAAGAACCCCATCTTAGGATATGGGGAACAAACATGTGTCTGGACGTCTCAACCTTTTGTGGGGGGCATCAGACACCCAGAGGCATTCGGAGCAGACCTTGGGCGACTCGAAGAGAATCCGACAATTCTTTTGTGTGGTACTGCTGGGCCGTCAAAATACTACCGAGGTCCCAAATCCCAGGACCGTCAACACTCTACGAACTCAGGATGGATTCGAGATTTCTAGTTCGCGCGCGCGGGGCGGCTCCTGGGGGTGCCCGGACGAAACATATTCTGGGCGGTCCGACCTTTATGGTTTTTCCTTCTGGGCGTGGCTTTCAGGCGTCCCAGAGCGCCTCTGGAGGGCCAGAGTCCGCAAGACGGTCCAAGAGGGCTCCGAGTCGCCGACCGATCGGTCCAAGACGCCCAAGATAGCCTCCAGACGGCCGCAGATGCCCCCAAGACGCCCAAAGCGGCCTCGAAGAAACGTCTCAAGAGGGCACCAGGAGGCGAAAACTATAGATGTCCCTCCCCTTCAGTTTTTGGAGGATTTTGGCGTTCTCATATGTTCGGCTTCCCGACTCTCAAAGACGGCCCACGAGGCCCCAAATATCGCCCTGAGACGGCCCAAGAGGTCTCCAAAAGAACCCCAAGAGGGCTCAAGAGGGCCCCAAGAGGGCCCAGGAGGCCTCAAAGACGGCCCAAGACATCCCCAGGACGGCCCCAAGAGGGGGCCAGACGGGAAACCCGAAGGACATCTCGAGCCCTCGGCCCCAAAGAGGCGCCCAGGAGGCCTTCAAGAAGCCCCCAAGAGCTCCCCGAGAGGCTCCGAGAGGCCGCCAAGAGCCTCTGAGGCCGCCAAGAGCCCCCAAGAGAACCCCACAAGAGGCCCCCAAGGCCCCCCGGAGGCCCCAAAGAGGGCCCGGGGGGGCAAAAAGTAATGTTGCCCTATAGGTTTTTGAAAGTTTTTGACCGTCTCGCCCTCTTGGCTCTCCAACGTTCGAAGGGAGCCCCAGAGGCCTACAAGACCGCCCCAAGACTGCCCAAGAGGCCTCTAAGAGGGCCCTTAAAGGGCCCCAATGCGGCCCACGAGGGCCCGAAGACCGCCCAAGAGGCGCCCAAGAGAGCCCAAGAACGCCCCACGACGGCCCCAGGTGGGGCCCACGAGGGAAACCACGAACCATCAATTCGAGCTTTCCGCCCCGAGAGGCCCCAGGAGGCCCCAAGAGCGCCCGAAGCGGCCACGAAAGCGCAGGCTAACGCCTGCGATGGCACAATACGGGCCGGCGGAATGAGCGAAGCATCTAAATAACACCTGTCCTGGAAAAGGGGTTGAGAGCTTCAGGAGCTTGTGGCTTGAACAGGAAGTCCAGTCGTCGGTGTGGATCCTCCTCCACCGCCCCTCCTGCTTCTTCTTCCCCTCGTCCCTCTCTTCCTGATCCTCCTCCTCCTCCTCCTCCTCCTCCTCCTCCTCCTCCTCCTACCTCGTCAGGGCGCTCCCGGGCAAACGAGGCCTGCTCAAGGAAACGTCGCTGGCAACCAGCATCGGCAGCGGCGACGACAACGATAGCAACCGTGGCCAGACCAGCTCCCAAAAAAAAAAAAAAAAAAAAAAAAAAAGTAAAATAAAAAAAAAAAAAAAAAAAAAAAAAAAAAAAAAAAAAGTAATAAAAAAAAAAAAACCCAAAAGAAAAAAATGAAAAAAAAAAATAAAAAAAAAAAAAAAAAAATAAAAAAAAAAAAAAAAAAAAAAAAAAAAAAAAAGAAAAAAAAAAAAGCTCCCAAAAGCTCTGAGGCTACACGCAGAGGAAGATGCGGAGGAAAACGAGGGAGAACTGGGACGGAACACCCCTCCGAAAGGTCCATCCTGGCTGCCGGCTTCTCGGCTACGGGCATGCCAGGAGGGAACGAAACACACAGACACAATTAGTCGTCGACTCCCAGGAAAATATGGGAAAATATGGAAGTGGGGGGAAGACGAAAACCCAGAAACTATGGGAACACATGGGGAATCCTGTCTATGAATTTGTGTGTCCCAGGGCCCCTTCAGCATAGGAAAGCCCAAGCAAGAGTATCCTCCTGTGCGGGTTTCTGCATCGCTGCCTGCGACGGGACGGGGGCGGCCGGCGTGCCGCCCACGTCCCGTCGCATGCAGCCCAGCCCACCAGCCCACCTGCGACCTCACGGGGCTCATGGTAACGTGTACCAACAAATCTGGCGTGGGCCTTTGCTGCCCGGTATCCGCTACGCCCCCGATGGGCCGTAGCGCGACATGGAGGGCCATGGGTGGGGTGGTGTCTACTGTTTTTTGGTCGAGCCCCCCCCCCCCTCCCAAGCCGACCGAAAACCGCGCACCAAAGGTCACTCTGGCGAGGGGTCACTCTTTCGTGCAGCCGAGCTCGTCTGTCCCCGGATCGATTTTCGGTGGCCCTGGGAAGGAAACGAGACGGAGAAGGCAGAGGGGAACACGGCGAAAGGAGGACAAGGATGCAGAGGAGGGAGGATAATGCGACCCCCTCGTAGAGAGCATCATTCATAGCATTACAGCCGCCCTCCTCTCCTGCTCATTTTCGCCTTACCATCGAATGTTGCCATTCCCACTTGCCAACACCTTATTCCTCCCTCTGGGCTTACAGCAATGCACCGCTCTTGTTGTATATGAGAATGAAGCATGTGCAATCTATCAACACATGCACATGAACATATGTGAGCATATGGGCGCAGACTGGCGACCTTGCACATACGCTCGTTCGTGTCAGGTTCCATGTGTGACGACGGCCTTGCATCTGTGCACACGTGCGCATACGCACACGCGTGCATCCACACACCTCCCAGCTCGGGCCCCTGACTACCCGACACCCGCCGAGAGCCCGCTGCCACGCCGCGGGCACCCGCGGCGGTCCCTCTTCTCGGCAGTGGCCCTCTCCAGCTCCTGCCGTCGGGTATGGGCGCAAATGCCCGCGGGGAGGCCCCCCCCCCGGAAGGGGCTATAGGACGAAGAGAAATCCGTTCCAGAGCGTTCTAGAACGCTCTCAGAGCGTTCCGAAACGCTCTCAGGCCGCGGCGCCCGAGACATCCTCCAGAGCCGCTGGATCTGGACCATTCCCGATTTGGCCTCGTCCGATGTTATCCTCGTCCTAGCCTTTTCTTACCCCCCCTTTGGCATCGTGAAGGAATCGCAACGGCACGTTGTGACCACTGTCGGCCTCTCGGGGCCCCTGCCGGGGCACGGTGGCGCCCACAGAAACGACTCGGGAGGAGCAGCCGCCCCCCCCCCCCCCGGGGAAGGGGTCTGGTCCAGGCCTCTGGTGGCCTACGTCTTCAATCAACGTTCGCCTTCGACCCGGTCGACGGCTTCCGCACATTCAGTTTTCAATGTGTGTGTGTGTGAATATACATATATATATACAAGACTGCATTGGCGCTTCGCGCCCTGCACCTTGGTCCGATAAGTGGACGGTGCAGGCAGACTGAGAGAGGTAAACCGATCAAGACAGACATCGTTTCTGGTGGCCGAGGTCGCCATGATAGTGGTTACATTGTTCTTCTTGTTCCTTTCCTATGTTTGTCTTCGTACATTGTCTCTTCCTCATTCTCGAATGAATTTGCACGCGAAGGATTCTTCGTCCTCGTCTGATTCGTTCGCGGAAGCTCCTTCGTGGCGAATCTCTGGAGAGGTTCGCGGAAGGATTGTTAGGGCTCCTTGGGAGCCTTTGGGCGACCAATGGGGAAGTCCTCGAACCACCATACCGGGAGTCGTGGTTCCAGATCACGTGTTGCAGTCTCGGGGAAGTTGTCTTGAAGACAATTTGGGGCCGGGGTGAGGCCGCCCGTGGGCAGTTTGGGAACCGTCTTGGGCCCTCAAGGGGCCCTCTTGGGCTGTCAGGAAGCCCGTTTGGCTTGTTTTGGAGCAGTTTTTTTATTTTTTTTCCTAGCGATATCGGACGCTCCGAAGCCTGACTGAACGAGTATCCGCACATGTTTGTTAACATTACTTTGGCGACGTACCCAACCCTTGCGCAATGCGGGGCAGGAGTAGCTTGGGAGATTTGACGAGACGGCGGCGACGTGACATGGACGCACATACTTCTGCGAGCGGCATTCGGAAGGTTCGCAGGCCCCCAATCAAGGGAAACACGATGAGTAACTGAGTGAACCCCTGAGTCACTAAGGAAGACGCAAGGTCCGAAAGGAGACGGTGGGCAAGGGGTCTGAAACGTCGGCGAGGCAACAACAACAACATGACATGGCCCCCCAAAGACGGAATTCGGAAAGGCCCCGCGCAGGTCTGCGCAGTGCCTCATTCCGCTGGACCCACCAGCAGCCTTCGAAAGTGGCGAGCCCACCAGCAGCCCTCGAAAGTGGTGAGATTTTCATCCCCCCAAGAACGGGTAGGTCCCGCTCATATCCGCGCGATGCCTTACTCCGCTGGACCCACCAGCAGCCCTCGAAAGTGGCAACAGTTTCGCAGATCGCAGCCCCCCCGGGGACGGGGAGGTCCCGTTCAGATCCGCGCGGTGCCTCACTCCGCTGGACCCACCAGCAGCCCTCGAAAATGGCGACAGCTTCGCAGATCGCAGCCCCCCAAGGATGGGGAGGTCCCGTTCAGATCCGCGCAGTGCCTCACTCCGCTGGACCCACCAATAACCCTCGAAAGTGTCGACAGCTTCGCAGATCGCAGCCTCCCAGGGACGGGGAGGTCCCGCTCAGATTTGCCTCGCTCTGCTGGACCCACCAGCAGCCCTCGAAAGTGGCGACAGTTTCGCAGATCGCAGCCTCCCAGGGAGGGAGATGTCCCGCTCAGATCTGTGCGGTGCTTCACTCCGCTGGTCCCACCAGCAGCTCTCGAAAAGTGGCAACAGTTTCGCAGATCGCAGCCCCCCAGCCAAGGCAACTTGTGCATGCCGCCTCACCGCTCCAGCGACGGTGAAGAGCCAACGTGTGCATGCCGCCGCACGTCCATGGCGGCACACCCGTGATCTGGATTATGGGTTGGGGGGGCCCTTCGGGGTCTCGCGGCTTGTGGGGGTGAGAGCTCTGGAGGTGTTAGGACTCCCAGGACTCACAGGGCTCATGGGGCACCGTAGTGGTCGTAAGGCTTGTGGGGGCGAGATGCCTCATATGGCTGATAGGGGTATGGCCTCTCGGGGCTCTCGTGGGGCTCCTTTTGAAGCTCTTTTGGGCTGGCGGCTTGTGGGGGTGAGAGCTCTGGAGGTGTTAGGGCTCCCAGGACTCACAGGGCTCATGGGGCACCGTAGTGGTCGTAAGGCTTGTGGGGGCGAGATGCCTCATATGGCTGATAGGGGTATGGCCTCTCGGGGCTCTCGTGGGGCTCCTTTTGAAGCTCTTTTGGGCTGGCGGCTTGTGGGGGTGAGAGCTCTGGAGGTGTTAGGGCTCCCAGGACTCACAGGGCTCATGGGGCACCGTAGTGGTCGTAAGGCTTGTGGGGGCGAGATGCCTCATATGGCTGATAGGGGTATGGCCTCTCGGGGCTCTCGTGGGGCTCCTTTTGAAGCTCTTTTGGGCTGGCGGCTTGTGGGGGTGAGAGCTCTGGAGGTGTTAGGGCTCCCAGGACTCACAGGGCTCATGGGGCACCGTAGTGGTCGTAAGGCTTGTGGGGGCGAGATGCCTCATATGGCTGATAGGGGTATGGCCTCTCGGGGCTCTCGTGGGGCTCCTTTTGAAGCTCTTTTGGGCTGGCGGCTTGTGGGGGTGAGAGCTCTGGAGGTGTTAGGGCTCCCAGGACTCACAGGGCTCATGGGGCACCGTAGTGGTCGTAAGGCTTGTGGGGGCGAGATGCCTCATATGGCTGATAGGGGTATGGCCTCTCGGGGCTCTCGTGGGGCTCCTTTTGAAGCTCTTTTGGGCTGGCGGCTTGTGGGGGTGAGAGCTCTGGAGGTGTTAGGGCTCCCAGGACTCACAGGGCTCATGGGGCACCGTAGTGGTCGAAAGCTTTGTTGGGGCGAGATTGGCCTCATATGGCTGATAGGGGATGGCCTCTCGGGGCTCTCGTGGGCTCCTTTTGAACTCTTTTGGCTGGCGCTTGTGGGGGTGAGAGCTCTGGAGGTGATAGGAGCTCCCATGACTCACTAGGGCTCATGGGCACCGTAGTGGTCGTAGGCTTGTGGGGCGAGATGCCCACATGAGTGGGAAGAGGTATGCCTCTCGGGGCTCTCGTGGGGGTTGTGCTGCTTTTGAAGTCACTTTTGGGCTGGCGGCTCTGTGGGTGAGAAGCCTGGCAGGGTGTAGGGCTCCCAGGACACACATGGGCACATGGGGCACCGTAGTGGTTCGTACGGCTTGTGGGGGCGAGATGCCTCATATGGCCAACAGGCCTCATATGGCTGATAGGGGTATGGCCTCTCGGGGCTCTCGTGGGGCTCCTTTTGAAGCTCTTTTGGGCTGGCGGCTTGTGGGGGTGAGAGCTCTGGAGGTGTTAGGGCTCCCAGGACTCACAGGGCTCATGGGGCACCGTAGTGGTCGTAAGGCTTGTGGGGGCGAGATGCCTCATATGGCTGATAGGGGTATGGCCTCTCGGGGCTCTCGTGGGGCTCCTTTTGAAGCTCTTTTGGGCTGGCGGCTTGTGGGGGTGAGAGCTCTGGAGGTGTTAGGGCTCCCAGGACTCACAGGGCTCATGGGGCACCGTAGTGGTCGTAAGGCTTGTGGGGGCGAGATGCCTCATATGGCTGATAGGGGTATGGCCTCTCGGGGCTCAAAAAAAATAAAAAAAAAAAAAAAAAAAAGGAAAAAAAATAAAAAAAAAAAAGCTCTGGGCGGGCCCTCCCTGGTGGGCCGTCCCGGGACCCTCTTGGGCCGTCCTGGGGGGCTTGGGCCGTCTTGCGGCCCTCTTGGTTCTTCCTGTGGGCCTCCTGCGGCCTTCTTGGGGCTCTCTGGGAAGCCTTTTGGTGCTCTTTGGGGCCGTCTTGGGGCTCTCTTGGGTCGTTTGGGAACCCTTTTGGGCTGTTTTAGGGTTCCCTTGGGGCCTTCTTAGGCCGTCCTGGGGCGATCTTGGGGGTCTCTTGGGCCGTCTTGGACGCGGCGAAGGCCAACGAAGCGGATATGCTGTAAGTCTACGTTTTCCTAAAGGAATGGGGCGATTTTGACCTCTTGGGGGTCTTTTCTTTCTCCAGACGAGAGCGAGCGTGGGGCCGCAAGCCCCAAAGTTATGTGCGGACGTCCCCGCGCGGGCCCAGCACGAGCCCGAAATGGGCCTCCAAAAAATCGGCACCTGACCTGGCATTCCAGGTGGCCCTCCAGGCCCAGAGAGTCCACGTGCGGAAAGCCCCCTCGAGAGGAGGGCGGGCGGAGCCGAAATCTTGAGGACAGCAGATTGTTGGATTGCGCGCGCGCGATGAACCTGGCGGATGTCGCGAAAGAGTGCAACTCGCAGAAACTGTAAAGAACAGTCAGACAGGCCGGCTGAACTAAAAAGCGGTGATCTGCACGGGCACCAAGTGAGGCAAGGTCAGCACAGCGCGAATGGACCCCCGCATCAGAGCGGACGGGACTTGTCGAACCGAAGGAAGGAACCCGTACCTCCCTCCCTTCTCTCATGGACCCCCCATCCCCCACTGTAAGTGGCGACGGACGGATCAAGACATACTCTGCTCGCGTGCCGTGCCCTACACGGGCATTGTGGAGGAGAGGCGGAGGGAGGGAATAAGAAGTGACATGTGGAAAACAGAAACAGGGATGGGAGGAGGGATGGGGGCAACGAGGACCCAAACCACAGTATGGTTGGGAAAAAAGAAGAAAGTGCGGTTGAGGCCTCACTCTAAGGCGCTGGCGGCTTTACACTGGTATCCAGCTGAGGCCCCAGAGATGTCACCACGCTCACATCTGATCCATGAGCTGCTGCTTTTTCGCGTCGAACTCTTCCTGAGTAAGCGCACCTGCATCGAGCAACTGCTTGAGCGACATGATCTTCTGGGCGACGTCTTGAGCCCCAATGACAACGGCGGTCGCTGGGGCCGCCATCATGTGTTGTCCTGGCGCGCCATTGGGCGGCCATGACAGACTTGCTGGCAAGGTAAAAATGACGTTGTAGCCCCAAGGTGGCCCCCGAGGGCGAAATCGTAACATCAAAGGCTGCCCTTCCGAATCCACCCAATTCTCCTCGTAGCCCCCCTCCGTCAACTCAATGCGAACCCCAGTCAATCCCAGACTGCCGGGAAGCTCCTTCAGCTTCGCGTTGAACTTGTGGATCTTCATCTTCAGGTAGCACCAAGGACAGGAGAGGATTCCCAGCGTGGCGCCGCAGAGCAAAGAGGAGCAATCTGCAACACAATCTTGCCGGTGGGGTTGGTTTGCTAACAAGGGCCGGAGGGCGTCCATGATCTTATTGTAGTCGCCCTCAGGCACGTCTGCCCCAAGTGCGGGCGCCCACGGCGGGAATTGATGGTTTTTGCCCCGCGCATTCGAACCGCCAATGTTGGCCCAGATCTCCTTGGGGTTCATCGGGTTCTGGTAGATGCGGCCAACATACATCACATTTGCCATTGCAGCGGAATTGGCAAGGATGTCCTCAGACTGGCGACGCGGGAACGACTGAAGAAGGCAACTTGGGTCAACGTGAACTCCTTGAGCAAGAAAGCCCCTTGAGCCAAAATGGCTACGGACCTCTTGGGGGTCTTCTTGGGGGCCTTTGGGGCGTCTTGAAAACATCTTAGGCCGCCTTGAAGCCACCTTAAGGCCTCTTTGAGCGCTCGTGAGCCGTTCTGGAGTGGTCTTGGGTTGCCTTGGGGCTTCGCGGGACCGTCCGGGGATGGCGGGGAGAAGCTCCCGAAACCGAAATTCGAATTTGACGTCGGTGGGAGCGCCCACGGCCGAATTTATGTACGGGGGGGTCAGGGAGGGTTTTCCGTTGTAAGAATATCCGAAGAGGAATATCGGCGCACTAGCCGGAGGGGAGGAGGGGGAGCGGACACAACGGCACGATGTCAGGCTCAGCGACGCAATTGTGAAACCACTGAGCCCCTCGGCTGCACATATGCGTCTGCCAACGCAAGAAAAACGCCGACCGTTGTGGTCGCAATCCGCAAGAGACTGGGTTCCGACCCGAAGAGCCCCGCCCCCCCAAGAAACAAGTGGCACGTGTGCCATGGCTCTTGCACAAAAAGGAAGGGGGAGGAGGAGGATGTGGAGGAGGAGGGGGGGGGGGAGAGGATGCCATACATCGCAGAAGGAGTGAACAAAACAGGGCCTCAAGAGGGGCTCCAGAGGGCGAGCGCGAGGAGACTCCAAGGGCCGTCCCCCGCAAGATGGCTTCAAAGACCTATGGCGGGTTC